TTATGTGTCCTTTGAGTATTCACACCTTCTAGAGACAAATTAGTGGTATAAAATGTCCCAGAAGCCTTTTACTTTTGTACAAATTTTCGGTTGATCATACTGAAAATCTAGCCGAGCTGACAGGACATGTGATATCGAAAAGCATCTCATTTATTCGCCATAGATAAAGCTGCATGTGATGATAAATACGTTTTTATAATCTGGGCATTTAATGTTTCTGCACAATACTTCAGCAACCACAAAGAAGACAAATATTTCTTGTTGTGAATTTCCGACCTCTAAGTGCAACCAAGCTTTCATTAAAGTTGATAACTTCCAACGAGAAATTGATGATACCATTAATTCAACTTAGTTGTAATTGATCTAACAGTTTTACTTCTATTACCTTTCATCTAACACGTTTGATGAATTTAGTTATACCAAAGTGTGAATAAATTCATCCTTATTTCCTGGAAAGTCAAGGTTTACGTTTTAAGAATATTTTTTTCGGTTTTGAGAGCGCTTTTTGAGTGTGCATAAATGTTTTCATCAATTCGGCAATGCCGAAAGCTAACTCCTTCTTTCAATCACTTCGCCAAATCTCGACCAGTCAACAACAAAGTGGCTGGGCTCATTTTCCTAGGCAACTCACCAATCCCAATAGTTGCTGTACCTCTTTTCCTCGGCACTTGCATGGCCATCTTTGTGTTTTCTACGGCACGCTGGGACATGCCACCGCGAGCCTACCACCGTCCATTCTTTGCAACTCTTGGATTCATTACTTCTATCGTCTGGATCTACGCCTTGGCCCACGAGTTGGTCAATCTTTTGGAAACTCTTGGCATCGTCTGGATGATAAGCGAAGCCATTCTTGGCCTCACAATCATGGCTCTGGCTACTTCTCTTGGAGGTAAGCATGAAGTGACAAGTTTATGATTATAGAATGGCTAGTTTGCATTGAATTCGACCAAGCTGATGTTTTTGGGGTGAAATACGGAATTGCAACCACTCCTTAGGCAGAGGGTGAAACTTCCGGTATCAGGTGAGCAGAAGCCATCGGAAGACGATATAATAATAATCCTGTTTGTATTCGTTTACTTCTTCTAGACGATTGGATAAATCAATTTTATACCTTGAAATTAGACTTTGTCGTTTTCTGAGGCCAGCCGTAGTTACGCCAGCTTGCCTTAGGCTAGATGAGTAGCACATACAGTTAAAAAACATTGCATCAATGTCATTATTGGTTTTTAAAAGAGAATATTCAGTCAGCACTTTGGTGGATCTTTGAGTACAAGACTTTTTGTTCCTAGGGGGAACATGATATCGGTAGGTCATATAAGCCGATTGCTAGTCACTTTCCAA